GCTTAGGGCCTAAGCATCCAAATTAGGGTTTCCTTGTTAGATAACCCTAATAACCTCACTATTTAAAGATCCCTAGAGCACCAAAAACGCGTGGAAAGAACTCCTTAGGGTTTTGGATGTTCTTGGTCAGCCTCCTCTCTCCTTATTCTTCATCCTCTTGCTATTGGTGTTTGTGAGCCATTAGAGGAGTGACACTTGTGACTCTAAGCTTTCTAAAGCCATTACAAGGAGGATTTGAGATTGTTATTGCTACATAACAATCAAGGTAAGATCTAAACCTCTTTATTATGTTAATATGATTAACTGTATGCTAGAACTAGGGTTTAAAGTCTTGGATGAATTGCATGTACAATAGAGAAACCTAGATCCAAGCATTAGGGTTTGCATGAGCACATAGGATGTTCATATGGCTAAAACCCATCACGAATGTCCTTTCTAAAAATGCTCAGATACCAGCTCATGTGTGCCTGCTTAGATGACACGTGCTCATAGCAGAATATCGCCCTCTCGTGAAACTTCATGGTGATCACAGTCACTGACTCAGTACCCTGCTTGAGGGTCAAGAACTCCTGGGCCAACTGTTCCCATTCCACCGTGGGAACGTACTCGTCTCTGAACATAGTGGTGAACCTCTCCTAGGTCACCGTTGAGATCTCTGTAGAAGTAAGATGCGTCGTCACAAATTTCCACCAGTCATTCGCTCCCAAGCGAAGCTGGTTCAGTGCAAACCGAACCCTTAGATGCTCTGGACACGAACATGTGTAAAAGCATCCCTCAATATCATATATCCATCTCATCAAAGCAATCGGATCTTGCATCCCTTCAAACTCTGGTGGCTTCGTGTTGTTGAACTCTTGATACAGCAACGAGTCACCCCCTGTGGCTTGGCAGCACCGACGGTTGCAGTGGCTGCGGCAACAGCAGTATCAGTAAGAGTGGCGTACCGCTCATCAAAAGTCTCAATCAGCGTGGTCTTGATAGACCCGAACATCTCTGGTATCTCGGCTCGGATGGCTGCAACCACCTCGTCATGATCATCTGGAGGAGCTCCTCATCGCTCACACCCCCTCGCTAGTCCCCGTTCTGTGGCGTGTCCCAACCATGATGCCTCTGAAATACAACATAAAGATATCAGAGACTCGCTCAAGTATACTTGCACTCAATAACTCAACCCTACTTGCTCCCTAGTACCCTAAGGATTCTTACTTGGGCTGCGTAATGATCCGGTGTCTTCGGTAGTACGGGACCAATACTACCGCCCACACCGCATCAATATTCACCCCAAGTCCTCCTCCCTAGGATTCCAGCTCACAAATACTCTACATCTCGCTAGCATAGGCTACCCTTCGGTAAGCCTTTCACAAACTCCTCACTGCTACCTACTCGCTCTCAAGCACCTCTTAGCAGCAGAAATCTCCTAGGATCAGGCATTACAAATCAGGCCACTCTAGTCCTAACATGAATACGTAGCCTACTCTAGCATGCATAACATATCATATCATATCTCATAACACATAATGTAAGGGTATTTTGGGAAATCATCGTTCGGGCGCTGGCTGATCGTACACACTACTTCTTTCTGCTTTCTTCAAATTATTTTACTTTTTGGAAATATTGTTTCTTTTATGAAAATGTTTCTCAAGTCCTCAGTTTGAGTTCAAATACACCCAAAGGTGAATCTGAATCCCTCAAACCAAGGCTCTGATACCAACTTGTAACACCGTGAAATTTCAAAACAATTTTTCATTTTTAATTTAATAAAAATACTCCAATCATAATTCTCGAAAACATGTATCAATTGTTTTTACATAACATAAGTGCAAATCAAAATCCCCCGAATCTCAACACATCTCCACCAGAAGTGTGTACTGATCATGTCGGCGCCTTCCCACGATCAACTGGTACCTAAAACACGTAACACGAAAATGGTAAGCAATAATGCTTATTGAGTTCCCCAAAATACCACGTACAACATATACGCCTTTCCAGGCCATAGCTCTATAGGATCTTCCGATCCAAGTGTCTCAAGGGATTTCCATCCCATAATTCTGTTAACCTTCCGGTCCACGCTCTATTGACCTTCCTGTCCATATCATCATATTCATATAATAACATATTACATATACGACATGCATCACATTTTTATCATACACATAAGACCTTCCGGTCACACATAATCACCCCATCGGGTAAGGCATAGTGAGAAGACTCACCTTAATGAAGTCGGATAAACTCTCGTGCTCAACGTCCCGACCTAGCCTCCTCCTATTATTCAAATAACATTCCCGATCAATACTCTCCCATGATCTCATCTCTACAGACTGGGTAGAAGGCCATTTTACCCTTCCCTGAACTCTCCTGAATCAGTCTTGACCAGAACCCTAAAGTCAACGGTCAACTTTGACCCGACTCGTCGAGTGCACAAAGGTGACTCGGCGAGTCCAAACAGGTCCTCTGAATCCTTTCAGATTCTCTTGCCTTGTCAAGTCTTTCTTCCACTCGACAAGTTACACCCGTCACAAATCGAGGGGCAACCCCGACTCGACTCGTCGAGTCCGCTCATGGACTCGGCGAGTTCGTTCCATGCTCACACTCAAATGACCTTCTGCGGTCAGATCTGCTCCGCTAATCCATAGATCTAATCTTCCCAAGCTTAATAATCACGCAAAGGTTCGAACTTGATGTTCATGCAACGTCCAAATGACACTACTTGATGACTTAGCCCCAAATACAACATCCTAAGTCTATTTCTTCCATAAATCCTCATAAAGCAAAGTGGAATAGGTACTCTGGAACACTATGGATCCAGATCTGATATCTAAACATGATAAGAGACCATATTTCCAACAAATCAACCCAATAAAGGGTATAGAAAGCCCTAGATCCATGGATTCTTTGATAAAACAGAGAAAGGATCGATATGCTACCTCAAGGATGATGTCCTTTGCTTGCAATCCACAAATAAGCAACCTCCTTGGCCTCCTCTAAGTTGGAATCAACTTCTTCTTGAAAAACAAACCCACAAAGGTCTAATAATGACTTCTTCTCTCTCACAAACGCTCAAGCACTATAAGGTTTCTCTTAATGGTTTGGTTGCCGTAAATGGTGGCTATAAGGGTCCTTAAATAAGCCCAAACCCGAGAAATTGGGTTTCATTAAACAGCATTGACTCGCCGAGTCCTTCATTAAATCAGACCAACACATGCGCGATCCCACTCGGCGAGTCTAAGAGCTTACTTGCCGAGTCCCTCTCTAATATTCAATATAAATACTTAAAATGAGATACTTGGGAATCTGGATGTTACAAGAAGAATGAATCTTGAAATTGAATAGCATGAAACAAAGATGATTTAGACAGATGAATCAAACACCCACAAAAACAAAAAATAATAAATATTAGATGTAGAAAATCTTAAAATCCCGCAGAATATAGAATCTTCAAACCTATGCAGAAAGCAAATGCAGGTTGTACCTCACAGAACGAGATTAAATGGGGCATCTTTTTTACATTTTCTAATAAGATTACATTGGCTGATTTCTTGTTTAATATTATTCAATTTCAAATAATTAGATGATTTTTTGCTAATTTGTTGGTATAATACAAAGCTTTCTAATTGAAATTCCTTAATTGTAGGGACGGATTCTAGAGGAAGGAAAGAAAAGAAGATGACAAGTGGCATTGAGAGGCTAAGAAGATGACACATTGTTAGAAATTGGGGTATAGTAAGGCTTGAAATTCTGAGAATTGTGTAAAACACTTTCAGATTAAAGCATTTGGGTGGTACTCCCAATATTCTTTAATCGGATAAGACTCAGAAAGATAAGAATTTAGAATGCTTTGATGATAGTTTCGTCTGTACCAGAAAAAATGAGACCAAAACCGAATTTATGATCTTTGTACGAAAACTGTCATATGATAGTTTCAAACTGTCATAAACTATAAAAACCAAAATAAAACGGAAGTTTGGATAATTGTCAAACAATGGTCAATTCTCTGAAAATATGATTTTTTGATGCATTTTTTTATATAGCAACCCAGCTAGGGGCTCTGCCCCTTGGACCCCGCTCCCAGGGGCGCTGCCCCCGGACCCCTGTTCGTTTAGGGGCTTCGCCCTTAAATGACAGTGTATTATGAAAACTTGATCAAACTTAAACAAGTGTGTACTCCACACCTTCCTTACTTGTTTAATATTTATCAAGATCACATTTGGTCAACAAAGTAATCCCATTACATTTAAATAAGAGAAAATACCGTAAATAGTAAAAAAAAATGGGGGGTATTTTCAAAAAATAGACATAAAAATGAACTTTTCCGGATATAGACATGCATTCCGCGGAGCTCCGCAAAATCTACTGTAGCTCCGCAGAATGGCAAAATCGTAAATAAATCAATGTATTAAAAAAAACCTTCAAGATCTGTTCCACGGAGCAACCTCCGATGAATGAACTCATTTCGCGGAGGTAGCTCAGAGGAATGGATCTTTAGTGTTTTTTTTTTTTTTTTTTTTCCTCACATCGATTTTTCGGGGTTTATATTCATTTCTCATACTAATTGTTTTTAAGAAAAGATTATCATACTATTATAATCTTTACTTGGAAATAATTAGTTGAAGAATTAATATAAACCCCGAAAAATTGATGTGAGGGAAAAAAAAAAAAAAAACTAAAGATCCATTCCTCGGAGCTACCTCCGCTGAATGAGTTCATTTCTCGGAGGTAGCTCCGCGGAATAGATCTTGAGGGTTTTTTTTTTAATACATTGATTTATTTACGATTTTGCCATTCCGCGGAGTTACAGTAGATTCTGCAAAGCTCCGCGAAGCTACCTTCGCAGAATGCATGTTTATATCCGGAAAAGTTCATTTTTATGTTTATTTTCTGAAAATACCCTATTTTTTGATTATTTACAGTATTTTCTCTTATATTGATGATAACAAATCACTAAGTATAAAACTACTATATTTTATTAAGTTGATGATGATGATTTTAACAAATATGATCATTCATTCACTATTTACAAAACACACCACATTTCTTCAATTCTAACGTTTTTTTTATTCTGAAGAACTTCAATTCAGTATCCAATGTCTTCTCTCCACTTTGTTCTCTTCTTCTTATTCTTCTACCATTTCAATATCGTTAATTCATCTACAGCTTTTGTGGCACCTATCGATAGAGACGAATCGACGGAACTCTACACCATCTCGATTTTCTTCAAATCACCTCTTCAATCGACCGATTTGCTCCTCGATCTCGGTGGTAAATTCAGCTGGATCGATTGCACTCCCGGTTTATACACATCCAGAAGCCACCATTACATCCACTGCGGCACTAGTCTCTGTAATTCTCTCCCCTCCTTTGCTTGCTCCAATTGTTTCCGACCGTCGGGTCCTGGTTGCCACAACAACTCTTGCGGTTTATTCCCGGAGAATCCTGTGATTCGAGACAGTATTTTAGCACAGGCACTCATCGACTCCCTTGCTTTGACCACCACCGACGGCCGTTCCACCGGTCAACTAGGTGTCGTCCCTAATTTCGTGCTTTCTTGCTCCGATTCCTCTTTGCTTCGGGGGTTACCTGAGCGGGTGTCCGGTTCAGCCGGTTTGGGACGGTCTAATTTCTCGCTCCCGGCGCAGGTTAGTCTCCTTATCCCCTTCCAATGTCCCACCTATTGGAGTTGATGTATAGTAATTAGCAAATAAAGTTGCCAATTTCAGTCCCTATACTTGTGTGGATTTACACTCCGACTCCTACCTAGTTTTTATGATACATTAATACGGACATTTTATTTTAGTTGAGGACAAAATACAGAGTTGAAATTTGAAAAGGAAGAAAATAAAGTATGACTAATAAAACAAGAAAATATTGATTCTTGTGTTAAATTGATTATTTAACTATAAAAGCAAATAAAATAATTAGTAGATTATCAAAATCACTATATTTAATTAACGTTTGTTGACGCATTAATTAGTTTTGTTGAAAATAGTGAATATACATTTATCAATAATCAATAAATGCATATATAACTGAATTGTTTTAAACTTATGTTGCGAACGAGATTGCGATATAATATTTAATAAAAGTTTGCGCATCTTATGATTTTGGTGAAAATTTTTAATTTCTTTATTCAAAATGCTACTAATGTATCTACTTGTAGATAGACCTTTATAGGTATATATGCTGTCTTTAAGAATGGTTACAAGATGTTTGATAAATATTAAAACAATATTTTAAAAGATATATCAAATCTTATATTCTTATAAATAAAATAAAAGTTATATAGAGCATTACAAATTAATGAAACGACTAGTTATTTTTGTTCTCATTAAATTTTGTACAAATACAATGGTTGCATGCCATGTCTATTGGATAATGTTTAATACATAAAATTTGTTTATTTCGTATATCGAATAAATCGCATATTAAATCACCATTTACACCTTAATAAGTATTAAAAAAAAGTCAACAATATTTATTAATTTTATTGAAAAAAACAGAATACCTAAATTAACAAATTCCTTTTTCAAATTACCTTGTGGCGCAGGTTAGTAACGTTTATGATTCACCCTATTTGTTTGCGTTATGCCTTCCCAGTTCGTCAAGTACATCCTCCGGTTCAGCCTTCTTCAACACCGGTGGTCCGTACTATTTCTCTCCCGGAATTGACCTTTCCAGTCATCTTGTTTACACGCCACTCATTCTAAACCCAATCGGATTCACCATAATAACCTACTACCGCCATCCGTCCGACGAGTACTTCATCGGAGTCACCTCAATCAACGTCAACGGCAACCCGGTGGAATTCGACAGCAAGCTTTTAACAATCAATGAGGACGGTTTCGGTGGAACCAGATTGAGCACCATCACTCCTTACACTGTATTAGAGACCTCGATTTACAACGCGTTCATCGAACGATTCGTAAACGAATCGGCCACAATCGGTCTCACTGTAACGGATCCGGTGAGTCCGTTTGATGCGTGTTATCCAGTGAGTGAAGTTTCTAGCACACGGTTAGGGCCTGCGTTTCCGACTATCGATTTTGTGATGCATAGCGAAGATGTGTTTTGGAGGATGTTTGGAGCGAATTCAATGGTGAGAGTTGCAGGTGAAGATGAGGATGGAGATCTATGGTGCTTGGGGTTTGTTGACGGCGGTGAGAATCCGAGGAGTTCTGTGGTGATCGGAGGGCATCAAATGGAGGATAATCTGTTGCAATTTGATTTGGTATCGCAGAGATTGGGGTTCAGTTCCTCGGTTTTGGTGCATAATACTGATTGTGCTAGCTTCAACTTTACGGATGATCCTGGTTTGTGACGAATCCCCTCTGGTTTTAGTTCTGACTAGAATTTTTGTTAAAACTTCTGTAAACTTTTTTTTGTTGATGGTTCAAGTTTGACTCTGGCCATTTTAACCAGTTTGACTTGTTTAACATTTTAATAAAATACAATTCAATCGATAGATGCAATTCAAATGAACTTGTTATGAATTTGTTAAAAAACTGTCACCTCCAATTTGTTAAGATTATAAGCTAAACTAGTTCCTTATCTTTGGAATCATTAATTAACGGTGTATGTCATTCCATTTATAGATAATGTAACTGTCAATTAGTAGTTATTTGATAGTTACTTTCTGTATCTATTTATATGTAATCAATGTATAGATTAGTGTTGTTAGAATAAAGCTTGGGGAGTGGTCTCCAACCGTGATTTTGCCACTTTCGTATGGTTAACTGATTTATTTGTCTCTGTATTATCACTATGATGATATGTTTCTGTATTATCCACAACAAATTTCATAACCACAATGACCAAGATAATTGTTTCCACAAACATAACCACAACTCAACCCAAATTTTAATATGTTTGACTTTTTGTCTTAATTGAAGTTTGTTCAAGAAATACAATCACAACCACAAACACCCATTTCTAATTCTGGACTCGAATTCGTTCAAGAAGCTCAACCCACTCAAACACTAGGTAAAAGAAAAGACAAGGTGATGGCTAAGGATGTGAACCCTAGAAGTGTTAGTATTAGCATAATCATGGATTGATATTTTAGAAGATCCGATGACAGGAAAAGACCAAAAACATTATTGTTTTTCGATTTAGATTAGACATAGGTTCCACAAAGGAATGAACCGTGGAGAATATCATTCAAAACATCAAGTGTACTCGAAATGGGGGAAGATGAACATGAAAGTCATGTTGTTTAATGATTTGTATACCAACATGAAACGTCAATGGAAAAGTAGAGAAAACGATGACGTAATTTTGCAGAAAGCGCTAAAAGTGTACCAAAAAGAAAACATGAAGGCTTTCAAGTTTTTTGAAGTTTAGAATCTCGTGACAGATAATAAGAAATGGCAAAACAGCCAAACATCCGAGGTGCATATCGACAGTGGTTCAAAACGCTTAAGAACATCTAAATCCGACCACACTACATCTAATGCTCGTGTTGGTTTCCACCTCAACGAAGATGAACCCGTTCAAGTTTCACCACCTTCCCGCCTAATGGAAGAGACAAAGCAAATGCAAAGGTAAAGGCAAAGCCTTGGATTCGGATGAGTTGAATGAAATGGGGGTCGATATGAAGGGCATAAAAGATAGAATGGACAACATTTTGCAACTTGCTTCCAAAAGAGAGCTTCGAAAACAAAAAGGAAAGTTATTTGAAAATACTAACGATGTGTAACGCCCCAATTTTCAGGTATTGTTAATATGTGTTTTTGGATTAGGCCCTACTCGACGAGTTAGTTTACCTACTCGTCGAGTAGCAGTGAGAAGGATTGCGGGTTAAGTGACCTACTCGACGAGTCCATATTGAGACTCGGCGAGTAGGAGCTGGCAAGTGAAACCCTAATTCCTGGGGTTTGCACCCCTATCTAAAGGGACCTTAGCCTCCCTTGGACCTCCTTACAGTTCCAAAGAACCTTTAAGAGCCTTATTCGGGTGTGTGTGCCTTGTGTGTGTGTTCGAAGCTTAAAAGAGAGTCCTTAGAGGGAGAAGACTTGGAGGAGAAGAAGATTGAAGCAATTGGAGTGTGGGAATCAACACTCATCTCAGATATCAACTTCAAAAGGTACCCAAACCGTTATTCTCCTTATAAATCTTCTTTATTGGGCGAGTTTATGGTTTTCATTGAATATCAAGTAGGTATGATGAGCTATGGGTTAGATCTGAAGTTGTAACTTCAGATCTGGACTCTCTTTGGATTCTAGAAGCATAAAGTTGCAGCTCTAGTCGTGATTGAGGTCCCTTTTGTGCATAAAGACCCATCAATAGCTTAGATTTACCATTTTGAGCCTTTAAAGCCATTCATGCACGTAAAGTTTGCAACTTTACGTGATAAGCATGCCCTAGAAGCTTGGATCTGTGATTTGGAGCCGCTGCATAGCTCAAAATGGATTTGTATGGGAAGAGGACTGAATGGACTCGGCGAGTCGCAGGGTCGACTCGGCGAGTCGCATGAAGATGGACATTGAACTCGACGAGTTGGTTGAACAACTCGGCGAGTCCGATAAAGATTGTCATAAGACTCGACGAGTTAAAGAACAACTCGGCGAGTCGGATGAGTTTTAACCAAGAAAATGTTCACGAGTATATCTGTCGAGTCGCAGGGAGGGAACTCAACGGGTGGCCTTAACGTCTGATCGGGATTCGAAGGAACTCGACGAGTCACCTCGATGACTCGGCGAGTTGGATTGTGCTTCAAGGGACTCGACGAGTAGCTGGGTGTACTCGGCGAGTTGAGGTCAACATGGACTGTTGACCTTGACTGAGGTCTTTGACCTTGATCAGGGGTTGACTATTGGGTTATGGAGTACCTTATAAGGTTAAAGACTTACGCGTATATTGAACTATGGTTATAGGTGGTGGGGTCGGTGTTGAGTGATCCGAGAGTTGGAGTTTACATTCCGAGTCGACATCTGCGAGGTGAGCTATCCTCACTATATCGATAAGGTCTATGGCACCAAGGTCGGCTTTTTAGTTGTTATTGTTATGGTATGTTGCATGTGGTTATGATTTGTTAGTTCGGAATCGAAGTAGATAGTATGTTATGCTTTTATGATCCATAGGGATTGGTGTGTTAGTGACCTGTTAGGTCGGTACTCTAGTTACAGGAGAATTCTATGATTGTGATCAGTGAGATAGATATGTTTGATGTTTGTATATGCCAGTATATGATAGCTATGCGCACATGGTTATTTGCTTATTGGTTGGGTTGAGGCGGTCCTACTTTGTGCTGAAGGCCAACATACCCTATGAGCGGTCCGGGGAGACTGTAGGCCCACATGGCGGACCAGTCATGCCGAAGGCTCGAGATAGATCCAGACGGACTGTAGGCCCGGTAGGGTGGTCCAGTCAGAATGATGGCCCAGTATGCATGTTGATTGATTGATTATTACTGTTATGGTATTATCATTGTGGTGTTGGTATTTTGGGGGTAGCTCACTAAGCCCTCGGGCTTACAGTTTTCAGTTTACTGTTTCAGGTACTTCAGGAGATCGTGGAAAGGCGAAGGTGTGACCGTATCGCTCCTCATCTTTATGTTATGATTTTTGGGACACTCTGATGGAAATATAATTTGAAAACATTTTGTAAACAATGCCATGTGGTTTTTATTTATGATTGAAAAAGTTTAAATTTGGTATGAATTTTATGGATGTTACAAGTTGGTATCAGAGCCTTGGTTTGAGTGAATTGAAGGAACACTCGTGTGAATCCAATCTCAAATCAAGGAGATTTTCGGAAATAAGTTTTAAAATGGTTTTCAAAATAAAGGATGGAAGATGCAGAGGGTACGATCAGCCGAAGCCTGTAAGTAAACCCCAAAATACCATGTAGTTATTTGATATTCTGATATGTTAGAACAGCATGCTAGTGCTAGGCTAGGGATCTTCAGGAATCACATGTTAGATTTGCCTGATTGCATGATACTTATTAGCCTAGGGTTTCTTGTATGTGGAACTGACATCATAACTGGAGATGTTTAGTGTATGCATCACGGCTGTGCATAATAAAGACCTTATAGCCTGAGAATGTTGATTCGGCCTTCGGGAAGGATCGGATATTCGAAAGTCTATCGGATGCAGCGTTATGTGCAGTTAGTGTGCATTAGCGCTGCCGGGGATGATGGAAGTTTCATGAATGTGAGTGTCGTGTTAAGCGGTGAGTCTATATGTGAGGTATTTGGTATTCCCCTAGAATGAGGGTTGAGCGCAATTCCTATGTTGATGATATTGTTAGGGCATTGTGGTGATACTTAAGACAAATATGGGTAGGTGTGGAAGGTAGTATGAGCCCGTACTATTGAAAGCACAAGACCCGTACACGTAGCAAGGAAGTCACAACCCCTAGGGTTTTGGGTCTAGGTCTCCCGAAATTATGTTATCTGATGGCTTTATGTATATTTTCAGTATGGTGGTAATGAGACGTGTTGCTTTGGGATCCCGATCGGGATCGGGGTCGGGAGACGGAGGGTTGGAGGTGCCGGTAGCACCTGAGCCCGTGGTTCAGATAGTGACAGAGGAGTTGGATGCCAGGATCCGAGAGATCATGCACGACGAGATTGCTGCTGCGTTCCGAGCGCAGCTGCCAGAGATGTTTGGGTCGATTAAGACCGCGGTGGTTGAGTATTTTGATGAGTGATATGCAGCTCTAGAAGAGACAGCTGCTGTTGCAGCCACTTTGGCTGTAACTGCGACAGAGGTGGGAGGAGGAGCCGGCAGGGCTTTCCAATACCGGGACTTCGATAATACGAAGCCCCCGACGTTTGATGGTACACATGATGCGATTAGGGCTATGAGATGGTTGTCTGATGTGGAGGGCTGTTTCTTCACGTGCTCATGTCCTAGTGACCAAAAGGTTAGGTGTGCCCTGAACCTGCTGAGGTTTGGGGCAAAGGACTGGTGGAGGCTGACGACTGTATCGTATTGTGACAACCCGATATTTCAACTACATGTAAACGACTTAAAAAGTCAAGTATTGTAACCACGTTAGTTGTAATGAAATTAACTTCGAAAATAAAATATCCAAAAATCACTAATTAAATTACCTATTATGTTAGATGTCATTAAACCGTGATCGTACGTAAAAAGAACGTCTAAATCCGACTTCGTATAAGAAAGTTAGGAAATTTTCAAGTTCGGCTTAACGGCAGACGGCTAAAAACTCGAATCAGAGATCGAGCGACTTTTGGTCGGAATGACCTAAACGAGAATCGAAGGTCTCAACAATGGTATTTCAGCGGTAAAAAGTCTGGCAAAAACCGACGTCAGATAAAGAAGTTATGAATTTCTAAAGAAATTTTCTTACCGCGACCTTTTAAAAATAAATAATAAAAATAATTTCGGAATTTGCCGACGGGATCTAAACGAAAGTTGTAGAGTATGGTCTCACCTTCGCGTGGATATAAAGAACGTCGAAAACGGAGTTCGTATGAAGAAGATATGAATTTTTGAAGTTTATTAAATAATTAAAATATAAATTTAATTAAAAACCCTTGGTATTATCCGAAGGGGAGTCACCAGATAGGGCCGAGTTACGCCCAGCGTAACCCCGTACGCCCAGCGTACGCGAGGCCTTGGCCTCGGATCGTCCACGTCCGCCTGTGCGAGGCTATGCCCGTCCCATCCGAGCTCCGAGGCAGTCGAGGACTCGGTCACGCATGACGCACGCGTACGCCCGCGTACACGTGTACGCCAGCGTACGAGGTCGGTTCCCAGCCCCTATAAAAGGGATGCGAGGGTTCCGGGAAAATCACACCATTTCTCTCATTTCTCTTACGTTCTTGCCTCGTTTTCCGTGCCCGTGCTACCCCGAAGCCCCGATCACTTTGCTCAAGTCCCGAAGGTCGTTTGTGCTCCCGAGAATCCCGAGGAAATCCACTTTCTCGAGCCGAAATTCTGTCCGGTTTTCATCCCGCAACCTCCGATCTTACAAGTGAGTTCATACCCCTATAATTCACACTTTTAAATGTTTTATGAGTACTTTTACATGCTTTTAAGGGGGGGGGGGAATACAAGTAAAACACTCGATTATTATCGTGTGTTATATAAACTTTCACTATACGCGTTTTATCAAAGGAATCATATGTGATTTAAAACTATTAAGGGAAACTTTCATATGCAAATTATACCACGACAACATTTTATCTTTTGAAATGAGAAACGATTTATGTATTTATATAAATCAGATACTTTGCTTATACTACATTTCTGTGTGTCGGTTTTGGCACTACAAAAACTACACTTTTCATAACAAGTGAACATTTTCACTAAGGGTTTATTATACAAACGAAACACACTTTTAGGAAACTATAATAGGTATAGTTTTACGAGAATACTACGAACTTTTACATACATGGAAATACTATTTCAAGAAGCTACTTTCATATACAATAACGAACGAACGTTTTCACACGTAAATCTGTTTTATACTAAGTTTTGTGAGACATTAACTTCACGTACGTTCGAGTACACATTTCAAGTCCTGTATTATATACCAGAATCCCTTGGAGGGGGAGCATGGTGTTTGTGTATAGATCTATACGGGCTTGACAACCCGCGCCCTGACTGTTAGCTACAGTCCACCATTTGGGGTGACAAACGTCAGAACATTCCAACGCCTGAAGAACGTTGTGTATAGGCATTCCTTGTCAATAGTATGGTTATAAAACTCACATAGAGTATTAAAAACACAATGATTTACGGGGTTTTTCAGACGTATTGGAAATTTTATACGTACATACATTTACTAGAAACAAACATTGGTCTTGAAAGAAGGCTACATTTATACTAGTAGAAAATATAGGATTTTCTAGGAACAACAAACAAGAACAAAAACATTTCATTTCATACAAACATTGTCATTAAATACTTATGAAACTCACCAGCTTAAATGCTGATCTACTCTTTCAAAACTACTTGTATGTCCCAGGGATTCAGTAATTACAGGTAACAAACAGGTTTTGGAGAAGGGACGCTGCGGCGCCAGTTTAATTTCATATTTTGACATCATATTGTAATTGGTTTTGAACATGTACTCTTTTAAACAATGTAAACTTTCAATTATATATATGATGGTTGTATTGCTTTCTTTACTATGTATTCATTTGTTACGTTACCACATGAAGTCATCCGCCCCCGAACGTTTCCGCCGTTCCGGTTTGGGGGTGTGACAGATTGGTATCAGAGCAATGTTTATAGTGAACTAAGTATATCGAACCTCATAAGATATACAAACTATAAATGCTTAGGGACTCAAAGTCTCTGACAAAAGTTTTCATACCTAAAATCCTTATTTCATTAAATAGATTATTTTAGGTTATGAAAATCCAAAATACATGCATACAACGACATATTTTCATGATGAGAACTATACAAAAGTATTAAGACAAGTTGGACACTACGATTAGTTCTCGAGATATGTAATCAAATTTGGGACGAATATAGCTTGATCAACTATGTTTATCCGAAATTAGACTAACGTATATCGAGGAATGATTGTAGTGAGCAACAAGTCAAAACTTACCAAAATAGACACTAGTATCTAACGTACAATTTAAATACTATAGGAGTATTTGGTGCATACAATAGATTAATTAGTATTACATGTCTCAAGTTTTGTTCAAATCTTATAACCCTATTCTCGTATAGTCAAATGGTTGGATTTCACCCGCATAGGGACCCCTACTACCCAAACCAAGGCAACGGAGGATGGATAGAGGAGGATCTGGAAGAGGACGAAGAGCCTATCGAGTTGGATGGAGGGGACGACTCTGGTACAGACTCAGAACCAGAGATAATCAACCCTCTAGCCATTAGGAGGAACTTCCAAGGACCGACTCCCGTTTGGGGAAGTCACCTCGTCCACTGGAGCCAACAACAAGGGATACGGATGCGGGCCCTAGTGTGGAGGATCGGGCCCTTGCGTTCCTAGAGGCCCACGATCGTGTGACTAAAGGGGCTTCACGGAAATAGCCATAACTTTGGCTACGAATCTCCGTTTTGGGCCTACGACCAGTCAAATCGAAGCTTGGAGCAAGGAGCACGTCTAGATAAGTACCCGAAGGGGAATTACCTATTTTTGAGTCCATAAATCGCTTTCTAAATGGAGTTATGAACAATTTTGTTATTTTTCCTTAATTTTTGGGTTTTGTTTTTGGGTTTGTATTTGGCCCATGGACTTTTAGGGTTTCATTTTAATTTCTACTTCTTATTTAACTGTTTTTGATGTAATTTGGACGGTCGATCATCAATTTTATGAACTTTCGATTTTCTCCCAAATTCTGTGTGTTAATCCAGATTTGAAGCCAATCCCACGGTATTCATAGAATCAACGTGGTTTTGAAGAGATTGTCCTTGCTATTCTTTTAGAATCAACAGCTTCATTCTTGTTTATCTTTGTGTTGTTTTTTGCGCTGCATCAGTTGGTATCAAAGTCGAATTCCTGGTTCAAAATGCCTCCGAGGAGAAACAGGATGCCCGCTAATGTTCATGAGCAAGAACTAGAAGAAAGTATTATGG